CATGTATCCAAGCGATTGACGTTAGTGCATTTTTTGGTGTGTGCCAAAGAACTAACCCACAAAAATGTCACCGCAAAAAAGACATTCCTCTTCTACCCTCAAAGGAAAGAAAAAGAAAGGACTGCCAACCCGTTTAGTCAGACATTGGGACATGTTGTCCGTCTTGTCCAAAGCTCCTCCACCCATGCGAAAACAAATGATTCACACGGCTTCTAAAGATGCCATTGATACCCTATGAGAATATCTTTAAAGGCACGATACCTTTGTCTAAACACCAGAAAGAATGCTTAGCCCAACATCGTCACATCCTTCGTCAAATGGTCCAAAAGAAAATACTCATTCGTCAAAAGAAAAGATGTTGGTACAACGTGGATGATTTTTGCCCTTTTTGCCTATGTTGTTAGCACCTTTGTTAAAAGGCGCAGTTGTCCCATTGATTACAAGTCTCGTGACGGGAGCTGCTTTACAAGAGATAAAATAAAGGGATAAAAAGAGAGCCTCCGGGTCAAAATAGATCTCTAACGTTATCCTTGGAATCACATGGAAGGATGAAAACTGACTTTAGTGCTATACAAACGATGGATGGAATTCCATCGCTGGCAAGAACAACAGACTCCGCAATTACCACCCAATCCTCGTTTGACCGAGATGTCCAATTTACAACATGAATTGCAATTGTTGATGGATTGTAGCGATTTGTCCGAAACGGAAAAATCTCAACGGTACGGTCAATTGTTGCAACTACTAGAACTATTTCACCAAAAAGTTCTAGATAAAACATCTGTACCTACTTTGAAAGATTTGAAAGCCTTGATGAAAAGTCCATCACCATCACTACCCTCAGTGGTCAAGACAAAAGCAGCCCTACGGGTATCGGTATAAGAAGAGGTACGAGAAGACTTTCAAATACCATCAGCAGCTCCCCTTCCTAGTAACATTGTAACGTCCCTGTTGACCACTTCCCCTATAACCCAAAGAGAAGAACTTAAAGCTTGGGTTAAAAAGATGATGTTCACTCCTCCGTCGACAGAAGCGAAAAAGAAAGAATTGAAACCAGAAGTGAAAAAAGACAACAAGACCAAAGCCATTCCCTTACCATCACCACCACCATTGCCAAAACTACCTTCCACGTCGACTCCTGTGTCACTTCGAACATGTAAAGCCGTTTCCAAACAATCCCCTCGCTCGATTCAGATTAGTATAAGCGAAGATTGGATCACTTATTAAAAAAGTATGGGAAAGGTCTTAGCCAGGATTTACTACGATCCATCCCATCCTGCTGGTTTTGGAAGAGTTCAGAAATTGTATCGTGCTGCCAAACCAAATTGAAAGGTGTCCGTTTGCCACAAGTGCAACGATGGTTACAAGAACAAGCCACATACACCTTACACAAACCCATTCGACGAAAATTTATAGAAATCGCACCCAAGTGGAAGGCATCAATCATCATTGGCAAGCGGATTTAGCTAATGTCTCTCATTTGGGCACCTAATATTATGGTAACAAATATTTGTTTTGTGTCATCGACGTTTTTCCTAATTTTCTTGGGTCGTGCCCTTGACTTCCAAATCGAGCAGTGAATTAGTGCGAGCCCTGAAATTGGTGTTGAAACAAAGTGGTCGTCACCCTCTTCAATGGCAAACCGAGAAACGTACCGACTTTCTAAACAAAGCTTTCCAAAAAAGAATTGAAGAAAGGTGAATTTCATTTTTGTACCACCGAGAATCCCAAAACCAAAGCCAGCATCGTTGAGTGTTTTCAACGCACTTTGAAAGAACGCATGAGGAACTATTTTACGCATCAACACATCTCAAGTACATCGACGTTTTGCCACACATCGTTCAATCGTACAATCAATATTGCCATCGGAGCATTGAACGTTCCCCTCAAGAAGTTACTCCCGACAACGAAGTGACCGTCTGCGAGCGTCTGTTTGGTACCTCCCCGTCAATCACTATCTCCAAGAAAGGTGGAATGTTAGCCACATGAGATTGGTGTTCGCATTGGCAAAACCAAACCTACTTTCGACAAAAGTTATTTACCCAACTGGACCACCGAATTGTTTTGTGTCACTGAACGAGTGCGTGGTCGTTCCGTCTATAAATTGGAATACATGAACGGAGAAGTGTTAAAAAGGAATGTTTTACTTACCCGAGTTACAACATGTGACCATAAAAAGGAGACGACGTGCACGAAATAGAAAGCATTCTCGATCGAAGGACAAGAAAAGTGGGAAAACAACGTGTCAAAGAAGTCAAAGTACATTGGAAAGGATATCCGTCAAGTTTTGACTCTTGGATTGTCGCTTATCAAATCATTGACTATAAAAAGAAGTGACCATCATACCCTTTAACACAGTCTCAGCTCCTACAGTGACCGCTCCTTTCCCCAGTTCTTCTCTGCAAGATCTACAAAAGCAACCCTTGTGGGTGTGATGAACATGTGCCTAAAACGCAAATCGTCTTTTTCCACCAAATCTTTGTGGTGTATCGTATCATCGGTGCTGCTATTGCCAATTTGAGTTTACAACAAGAAGATATACAATTGTGGGCCATTTTACTCAGCAGTTGCATTGGTTACCTTTTTCCTAATCCGTCCTTAAAATATTCCTCTAATGGAAACAACAACAAACAGAGTATTGTGTCCAACGTTAGTTCCTAGAGTCACCTTTAACCATTCGCTTTTAGACACTCCTCTGACTTCCAGTGACTCCTCGGACACTATAACTGTGGAATTATGAACAATCAATTTTACTTAACGTTACCCAGTGTCAGTTCCATGGAGGTGTTTCCCAGGAACACTTTGTGCTGTTACAAGGCCAAATTATCTCAGACCATACAAGTGGATGACGAAACCCATTGGGAAGTGGCTTTAGTGTAAATCATTCACCCTACACAAATCAAAAACATCGAATAAAATCAAATACTTTTAAGGGTAAACTTAATAACCCTGATGTCCAACAAGTTTTGGATATACGTTCACCTCCGAACGCTATAAAATAGAAAATAACCCAAGAACTAAATCCAACTTTACCACCTATCTATTGACCATTCCTGCAGGCTATTATTTTAACGGTCAACATTTTGTGAGCACCATTGCTAACAAGTTCAATACTGCATTTGGTATAGTCTTGGAGAAACTCGAAAAAAGTGTCACGATTGAGTACCACAAAATAACTCGTCGGCTACTGATCAAATTTAAGGCGGACAAAGTATTGGCCATTATATTTTGTCCTGATTTGTATCACACTTTGGATGGTGACCCTGAATTAATCAAGGATAAAAATGAAATACCAGTCGTGATCGATAACCTGGATTTTGCCAAACAATTTCAATCCCCTGTAGAAATGAATTAAGGACTGAATTTGATCTTTGTGTACTCCGATGTAGTGGAGTACAACGTAGTCGGACACACATTCATACCGTTACTGCGTATCAGTCCTTTCAAAGTGGATTCTGCCACGGCTGCTGACGAAGAAGGTGGAAACGCCTATCACGTTCACCGCGAATTTTTACATCCTCAGTATCTACCTGTCAGTAAGTCGTATTTCGACACTGTCAATATTACTATAAAAGGAGATCCTGGACAAAATATTCAATTCATCCAAGGAAAAGTAATCGTTAGACTCCGTTTTCGAAAACGAGTACTCTAAAAACAACTTCTTGTCAGTCATGTGTCCTGTGTACCAAGGAGTCACTGGACAACGAGGACATCGTTTAGGGGATATGCTCAAATCAGCCTTTCGTACAGTGGTGCCCGTGCTAAAACCAATGCTGATACGGGGATTGCACACCCAGAAAGATGCTGCTTTGACACACGGTAAAGAATTTCTTCAAAATGTCATTATTGACAAACAAAATTTCAAAGAAGCTTTCTTAAGAGCTGGCAAAAATGTTTCGCTTCAAACAGACAAAGACCTTTTGGTTAGACGAGAAACTCCAATCAATGCCACGTTTGCTGCTAAGTCAGGCATTCCTGCTTCACTGACGACACAGCAAAGACAAGGCAGAAAAAGACGAAGACGAAAACACCCTTTCAGAGGACTTTATACTCTCAAAGCTAGAAAGACTAATAAAAGAAAAACTGTTTGAGACTTAAACGTTTTTTATTATTAAATTGCACACAAAAGAGAAAATGATTCACAGAGAGTCTTGTGCTTGTTCCAAGTCGGAACTGGATCTGTTTGCCATGCCACCCACTATGATGACAATGCAAGAATCCCAATGGGTCGAATTTCATCCTGTCTCCTCTTTGACGGATTTCGCTCCAATCGAGTTTGAAATCAAAGGACAACCCGAATATTACATTGACTTGAATAGCAGTTACTTGTATCTAAAACTGAAAGTGATCAAAACGGACAACACCGCTCCAGGAGCCGATGACAGAGTAGCTTCAGTCAATAATTTCATTCATTCCTTGTTTAGCGAAGAGGATTTGTAATTGAATAACAAACTGGTCAGCAGCAGTATGGATACTTACCCATACCGATCGTATCTAGAAAATCTCTTGACGTACGGAAAAGAGGCCAAGAACAATCATCTGGATGCTTGGGTGGAATGTAAACCTGACATTGCTAGTGAGAATAAGTTTAACGACACAGCCCTGGCAGTCGATGACGATCCTCACAATGTGGGTTTTAACGATCGTCGAAAGAATATTCTGCAAGGTCGTAGTTTAGAACTGATGGTTCGTTTGCATTTGGACTTGTTGTTGCAAGACAAGTATTTACTAAACGGAGTGGATATTCGCTTAAGACTGAATTTCAGCAGTGACGCTTTCCATTTGATGGCTTATGCCAACGAGTGCAAAACCATCATCCAAGAAGCCAGTCTTTACGTACGCCGCGTAGAAGTGTTACCTAAAGCGGAAAGTGACTTTAGTCACACCTTGAACAGACAGAACGACCGCCAAGCATCCAAGACGACGTGTAGAAATGAAAACATTCACAATTGCTGCTGGACACCGATCCAAGATCCAAGATCATCTGTTCCAAAGAAACCTCTCCGGTGGCCTAGTCGTTAGAGCGTCCGTCTCGGATACGGAAGGTCGTTGGTTCGATCCCCTGTTGAGTCATACCAAAGAGAGAGGTTTTTCACGATATTAAAACTTATAAGTTATATACAATAAAGTTAAAGTAATCATAATAGATTCACATAATATTATACATTCACCATTCTGAAAATCCAATATTAACTACCTTATAATAGCCTTATAATAATAATAATAATAATAATAATAATAATAATAATAATAATAATAATAATAATAATAATAATAATAATAATAATAATAATTGTCATGGATATGACAAACTCTGCCTAATATAATATTATATTAATACGATTGGTAATACTACTGCTTACAATTTATTATAATTAAATTACTATTGCTACATTTATTCTTGTTTTATTTATAATCATAATAATAAACTTAGGTAAAATTAATAATAGCTTTAATATAAAGAATCTAAACAGGAAAACTAATTCTTATTAGCTATAAGAAATATGATATTTAATTAATGGATATATTCAATTATTGACAAATATTTATAATTATCCAACGGACATTAACGGACAATCTAATATGGACATGAATCACCAGAAGAACATAAATCTGGAATTAAAAGAAGAGGACAACAACTACAAGAGGAAAAGAAATCGTATGTGACACTCAGGCGCGTTAGGGGCTCCATTACGGGCTTTATGTCTGGGTTTACTCTTGTAACCTTACCTTCTCCCGAAGATATCCACAAGACAACGGAGACATCATTTATTGGCTGGGACATGGATGCTGATTGCTCGGGGCATCCATGGACTCAGCGTAGTCACGCCCCAAGACTGTCCAGCATTCCCTGGAACTTCGTGGGTTTGGAATCGGAGTTTCCTTCTCCTAGATGAGCTGCTGCCTGACATGGCTAATGAGATCCATCTGCCCAGGTTTGGAGTCAGAGCATTCCTTCTCTTAGACTGGCTGCCTGCCAAGGCTAACGAATCAAGTCTGCCTACCTAGTTATACCACTGGACACTCGGTCGCGTCACACTGCAGGCTCTGTGAAAACAGATGGTCCCGCAAGAAGGTGCTGCTGTAGTAGACACCATAGTTTAGGAGAAGCCATATGCAAGTACCTGCTGCGCAGCAGAGCCTAACAATGGGCCTGCGGAGATCATTACACCTGGAAAGGAGAGGCTATGAGAGACTCATCATTTTGCTTTAGCGAGCGGGACGTCAGGCCCAGACCTCGCACTCCACTCCTGGTGCAGGTTGGTGCATCACCTCTGTCTTTTTAATACCGATTGTGAGACCGATATTGTGACAAGCTGAAGAGAAAGGGTCCATGCTCTGTTGATGGCCAGACTCGGATTTGGCATTCAGTGAACAGTAATCTTTAATTATGATATCACGAACAGTCATATTCATGGAAGGATATATAAGCATAGCAGAAAATATTATACTGAAAACGTTTGGGGGACCAACACTCCGGTTTGCTTGACTGCAATGGTGACATGGGATTGCTTATGTGACTCACCGCTGTCAGCGACGCGCTTGAAAAAGCCATCATGGAGTTTCCGAAACTTTACTACGAATTTCCCTGGATAACTAAAGTTTGCCATAATCTTCCAGTGGCTACCACGACTCATGTGATAAAGCCTTTCGACAGTCAATGTATGTCATTAACAGGTTAGAATTATGTTTTTGACGGTTCTTCTCGAGTTGATGAGCTGCGCTCCTCTTACTTCAATTAGCACATACTAACTCTCAGGCGGGAATCATTTTGATTTAAGGCGATTTAGCAAAATGCTGGCAAGAATTTTCACTTTATATTTATAACAAAGAGATAGCCCGATGGTTGCAGCGGAATGAACATGATGGGGTGGTGTGTGGGAGTAATATAATTTCTTGCGCACAGGTTGGATTAAACTGAGGGGCAAACTGCGCAAAGCCACACTCGCACTCTCTATCAAGCATGTTTCAATTCAATGGCACGACAATATCGAAGAGTCTTGAGACGAGTGCAGATGGATGAATTTTGATCAAGTCCCGCTGTACTTGAGTTGTTACCCTGCAGTGTTCACACAATTCTTTTAATCCGCCCTCGGTTGATGGGATAAGTATCGAACGCCTAATGACATTCCAGAGGAGATATGGTTTAGCTGATTACTCTGGGTCAATATCCACAGATAGTACCTTCTATTGGTACTTACTGTAGCAGTCATGTCAAAACAGAAATCAATGCAGATTAACTGTTTTGAAAATAAAAGGTTATACCCAATATGTTTCTTCCTTTCAAAATGTGGGATATTAATTAAAGTTTCGTGAGATAAATACCAGATTTATAGCACACGTAATATAATCATTTAAAGAAATATATACGCGATCTGTGATAACCTACAATTAACTTTATAACTGGAAACTGTCTCTTGAATTTCCAATCTTTATTCTCGAACTTTACCTTCTGATATGATATGAAATAAAATTATTCTTGATTACAACTCCAAAGATTTCTTCTCAGGTATTCACGATATTGCGTAAATATTCATTTACTATTTCATTGTGTTGAAAAATAGGCCTTGTTCAAATTTTAACTTTTTAAAGGTTATGTCTACTTTAGGGTACTCAATCTTTTGATCGTCTTTAAATTTGGTGTTACATAAATTATGACGTTTATGCAAACTTCATTTGTTTAAACCACTCTCTCGTTGTAAGCTTTTTTAGCATTAATTAGTCGTCTAGCATCGTCAATAAATTTATTAATTGCTGGTTCAGAATTAGCTATCTGTATCTCCTGATCTGAAATCAACATAAAATGTCTTTATTACATTTTTTGAATAAGGTATACAACGTTTATAAACCTGGGGCCCCAGGCGACCGAGTGGACTAAGCGCTCGCCTTTGCCGATCTCTTCTCTGTCTGCATGGGTTCGAATCTCTCGGCCAATGTGGACATGTGAGATAGTTGCGAGTAGCTTCCCGTGGTTCAGTGGTTCTTACCGGGCTTTCCCGGGTTTTTCCTCCACCAGTCGTGCTGTTGTATAGCCTATTTTGCGCTGATAAATGGCGTAAAACCCAAAACTAACAACAACAACAACAACAACAACAACAACAATAACGTTTTAATCTAGCTATAACGAGCTTTCTTTAATATATCAGACTTAAATGCTGCATACACAATGAATAATTAGAATCCATGTACTGTAATAGTTCAAAATGTCATTATAAAATACTATACTTACAGACCTATTGTTAAATCAAAGTAAATCTCAAATATTAAATTGCACACATGTATATAACAAAATGGTGCTTTACTCGCTAAACATAAGCCTAATTCTTAGATACGTGACGCAAGTCCTGTCCTTAAGTGTAACAGGCTAGGTTGGGTGTTATGACCAGATAAATACTGCCTGTTATTCAAAAGCCCGTAATCTCCTTGAGTATGTATAAATACACACATGTTCAGCCGTACCTGTATGTATAAATACAGGTAAGGCTGAACATGTGCGTATTTACTTTAGAACGCAGTAAAACTATTAGCGCTCAGGTATTATAAGTAGTAAGAAGTTGGATCGTGCTAACACATTTTCTGACGTAAGACCAATATTACAAAATAGACACTCGTAGATAACTGGTCGGATTTCGTCTGTAACATTACTTATGAGATGGAATGGCCAATGTATCGGGTGTTCTATGTATGGTGTTTTAAGTATGGTGTTCTAAGTATGGTGTCGTAAGTCTGAGTGTGCTACGTTTGGGTATTTAAGGGATCATAAGGACAGGCTGTCATAATCAGTTTCATTGGAACATGTTTGAACTAGTGGTGTTAATATTCACATGATGGAGGTATGCGTCACTGAATTGTGTGTAGTAAAATGTTTATGCATTGTTTTTAATAAAGATGTACTCTGGTTTCGTTACCGCGTGCAGAGTTGCCAGATAGCAGTTTACTATTTATTAGTCGTGGATATTTCAAAATGCTGAGTTTGGTTAATATATTGTTACGTGCGCAACCTGCATGCATTTAGAAACCTGGTTACCTTGAGTTCTCTGCTGTGGATGTTCAACACAAGCAGGGTACTTGTAGAGTAAATGCTCGTTGTCTTATCAAGACAACGTGTTTTGTCAAGAAACTGTCCATATTACGTGAGCAATCTTCAGATTTTGAAGTATATGAAATATCATTTTTTTGCTATCTGTTTTTTGTGATATAAATGTTTTATGCATTGGAAGTATTGGAATTTGTAATAAATTTTGAAGAGGCAGACCTATGTGTCACAACTCTACGCTATCAGATAGAGTATATTCTGTTTTGGGTTAGCCATATTTATAACTGAACAGACAAATATAATTCAGTTATATGTTGTATGTATTGAAGGATGAGTAACATTCGTATTCTTATAATTCAGTCAGATTTTTTTTTGTGGGACACCAATTCATATAATAATAGTTTCGGACGTAAGTTCTGATGAAATATTTAATGTGTAACGAAACTAATTCACGTGCGCGCATGCTTACTTTATATTATTGTATTCTTACTTAACCGTGTCTCATGTACTACTTAGCTCAGTAATTACATTTGTAGCGATTTTTGATAGAAAATCGTAGAACCCCCGTTGAGGTATAGTATAATCCGTGGTGACCTTGGCTATTATAATATTATTAAATTTACTCACATATAGAGATTAAAGCTTCGAAACCACCGGTCTGCATGAATAAGGAGACTTTCGATTGATATCACGTACTACAATGTGTGCCTGCTGCAGTAACATTGTTGACTACCAGACAGCATGTAAATTAATAATTTATTATTAATAGTGACCCAGCTCGGGATTTATCGTGAAACAAATTTACATAAGTGTTAATCACCTGTTCACAGAAAACTGGAGCTATAATTTTGCTTTTCTGTCGGTCAGTGCACACTTTCTTTTGCGCTCAATAATTACGTCCTTTGATCACATATACATCGTACGGTTACATTGTATTACACGTTTCGATTGAGAGTGCTCTTGAATAGTATATGACATCGTTATACGTGTCCCTACATTTCAGATTTATGTATCGTAATATTTTCATTACCTG